TTATCGAATGTGGACCAGGCCTTTCGCCCAATATCAGCACTCTTCAAGTCGATAAGCCATAAACGCTCCCCACTAAAGGGAAACGTCATTATAGATAGCTCAACAAACTTCTATGCGTGGACATTGAAAAAGTCTAAGATTACAGATGTTCAAGTACCCGTAATTACTGACATAAATAGTATATTCCCACAGGAAAAACCCAAATGAAACACAACAGTATCAGAATCTTTATTGCATAGGAGGGGACTTCGTCATGACCTGTCCTATCTGTCTAAACACAAAATTACGTATAAGGTTAGCACTGATAATGCTCCATGGTTTAGCTATGTCTGACATTGTTTGTTCAATTAACGATGTATGTGGCATAGATGTATATCATAGTTTATATCTTTCCTATCCAGGGTCATTTTTCTTATAGTTGTACAATCTGTGTATATCGCTTTGCTTTGCATTTCAATGAAACCAAGTATTTGCAAACTCTTTGAGTCTATCTACTCAACATAAGCATTGTCATTCAAAGCATTTCTATTGATTGTTTAAAATGCGCTGCAATGCTGGAAGATACTCACATGACGCATGCATATGTTTGATAGTGGATTTTCTTAACCTAGTTAAGTATGATGACATAACAGTTTAACCAGTTTCCACCTCTGTTTATTGCAGTCGTCTTTAACTTTTAAAGCTTGAATACGGTTAGTTGATTAATGAAATGCATATCTGATGAATACAATATCGATTTATAACCAAGTCTTTATTCTTTTTAGTCACCACTGAGCTTTTAAAACACCATACTTATAAAGCGCTGCAATTTTAGTATTACAAACATTTTATTTAATAGAAAATAACCAAACAACAACAGAAGTGTAATAGAGTTATGATATGAATGAAACTAGCATGTATCAGGTATTGTATCACGGACAGACATAGACTACTTGTAGTTTGGGGTTTAATGATAATTTAGTATATTATAAAACTTATTGCCAGTGACTGAGTTTGTGGTATTGCCTGCTCTTTCAACTGATAATAACAATGTTGCAGATTTGTTAATAATTGTATAATATGTAATTTATCCTTATTTAAAACACTAGTTATTCACTGTAAGGATGGCATCATTGTTTTCCTAAGACCGTTATCGAAACTTGACATCAACTTTGTATGACTTAATAACACTTTGCTGACTGTAGAGTTCACAATTATCCCGGATAAGTAGAGTAGACGGATATGTTCAACATCTGTTGGTTCAAATATGATGTGAGAAGGATAGTGCTTTGCACATGCTTTTCTACATTACGCCGTTACAGAGTTAAGTTTCATGGAAAACTACTGCTAATGATAGTTGCTCAAAACATCAAAACATATATATATATCAAAGGTGCGTTATTTTAGATGGAAAAACCAACTGAATTTAAAGTGTTTCAATTTTCATATATTCTCATTAAATCAACAAACATATTAGTAAATAACCGATTACAGTGAATTTGGATTAATACCCGACGGTTAACAGATTAACCCACGTGCAACTGATGGACAGATATGAATAAGCTAAATCATCCCATGCACATTGACTGGTCATCTGTCACCTTGGAAAGGAGGCATTAGAAAGAAGCAGGATATGATAAAAAACTAATCATGTTCAAAACTTCGGTTCTTAGCCATTCACATCTATGTTCCCTAAAGTCTAGACAGTTTTAAGAACGACAGTCTCTCATTGTAGAGAAGAAAAATATTGGTATAAATTTAGCTCATCCTAAAATATCCATTCATTATTATGGCTTGCGATCTGCTTCTGTAATTTTCCGAGTATGCTTATCAGAAATACAAATATGAAATAATTCAAGTGATATACAATATCGATAAATAAATAATAAAATCGTCTACTTTATGAACAACGAGTTGAGTTGCTTCTCATTTGAAAGGACTGCATGCCACTAGCACTAGTTATGGCTTTGTTTAAAGATAAAACACTTTCTCAATAAGTCAAGCTGTACAATCTCACTTGCTGTTTAATCGACGCGCCCTCCTGTGGCTGGAACTTGTAGTTTTGCACGCAGGACATCACAGAAAAACCACCGGTGGCCACTATTCACATTGGACACGATGTCTGGCACCTTTGTTCGGAACAGCATGGCACTGAGGCGAAGATACAAATCACTTCCTAAGCAGCGTAACGTTCTCGTGGTTTCTTACCTCGTGGATGAAGATGTAAGGCTTACCGCGTTTAGTCGTTTGATGTTCTTTTTATTCTTAACTTTAAATGATATACAATATTTTGACTAGACATGTTCCTTGTTTCCAGGCGATTACTACTTCCCTATAATTTATGTTTATAATGGTTTAACCTTATGCTACTCGCAAATATTATACAAGAGCCCTGTTTCAGGCGTATTAAATTGTAGAATATGTATACGTAAAAGTTTCCATGTCCGGTCAAACTCCTTCAGTCCCCATTTGTTGTTAGATAAACTAGTTGTACATCAGGCGAGCCCCTGGCGGTCATCGGCGTAATTTGTCACTTACTACTTAGTTACAATGTTGCCTCTGCACTTCGTAAAATAAACTTCCTTAGTTCAGTTGCAAACAAACATCACAACATGCAACAAGAAGAAAAAAAATTAGAAAAATATAATATAATTCATGATATGGGAAGCGATATTGGTTTCTTGCTTTTCATTGTGCAATATGCAAGTTAAGTTCTAATACCAAATATAAACCTACCATAAATAACCAAATATATAAACATAATGATTTAGATATTTTCATCAACTACTGTTTTTTATTTTGTCATAAATGAATTTACTGTGAACGTTATTAATTTAACAAATTAATAAAGTTTTACTATTGTAACAGTCAGAAGCGACACCTGAATGACACATTATACTACATTAATTTAATACACCTACGTTTATAATAAAAACAAGTAATAATAATAGGTGAAAAAATATATATGATGAAAATATTAAGCAACAAAAGATAATGTGCAGATATGCACTTTTAAAACAATCTATCAGGTTTTAGGCCTAATTAACTCCTATACTTAACTTCACAAAGTAATATAACTTAAGGTTTTTAATATTGGTTTATTTCATAACCGGCTTCGCAAAAGGAAAAATAGGCCATGCACGAAAACGGACTTCCCAAATACTCCCTTAGCAAATTATTTTGTATAAACAGTCTCTGCAAACGTGAAACATTCACATGCACAACGTTGTAGGAACTAAAATTTATAAATAAATTCCTTTATAAAGTTTAGTAGAGTGGAGCATAACATCATGCGTATTAGGTAAGTTGCGTAATATCTAGACTAGCTGTAAAAAGAGTTTACATTCTTTATCTAACGCCCTCTATTGCTTACGCAACGTCTGCATAACTTGCAACTTCTCACTACGCCACCTACAACTAGTACTGTTACCAGGAGACAATTTTTAGTGGGGTGGTGGTGGAGCAAAGAAACGCAAAAATTTCAATATTTGTCATTTAATGATAATACTATAGTATTCATTATTTACAATATGCAAGAGAAGGAGAGTTAGAAGAAATTATTTAATATTTCTGGGAGAGAAGACTTAAAGTGTTCTTAAAGTAATCTCACTCACGAAATCTGACGTATGTAGATTTTTTCTTTTCTGCTATCCAATCATAAACGTTTTTGCAATTTTCAGTTTCGTCCATCTGAGTATCTAAATATTTTAAACGGGTTTTTAAAGTGTACTTTGCTACTCAACATCTAACAAATATTTCATAGGTAAAGTTTTTTTATTTTATCATATAATAACGGCAGCATTGTCTGCATGGTTCTCTAGATCCCATCTTCTTACAATCTACACATATTTAGACAGAAGAGTGAAAGATTCTAAGACGTTGCGGGATAAGAAAAGTAATGTTCACATTCACAATAATTATAAAATTGTTATATTTTTTAAATATCATTATTCTAATAAAATACATTTCTCGTTATTTATTTCATCACCTTCACAATTGTTTTTATTGTTGCGATTGTTTGTTTGAAGTTAAACACAAAGCTACACAATGGGCTATCTGTGCTATGCCCAGCACGGGTATCGAATTCCGGTTTCTAGCGTTGTAAGTCCGCAGACATACCGCTGTGCCACTGTGGGGGCTATTGGCACGATATCCGTTTTTCATTGTGGTAACGTTCACATTTACAATAATTATAAAATTGTTAGATTTTTTTAATTATATTATTCTAATAAAATACATTTCTCGTTATTTATCTCATCACCTTGACAATAATTGTTTTATTAGCACGATATCCGTTTTAAATTGTAGAAACCTAGATGATCCAAGTTTTTTTCACTGTACTTAAGGAGTATTAGTGATAAACCAATATAATTTCTGTTAAACTTCCCTTTGTTCATAATTATATTTAAGTTTTACTATGCGTCTTAAAGGCTTATCGTTGTTGTTCTGTATTTTGTAAGCTAAAATGGAAGAACCTTGCTCCTTTGTTTGCAGAATATACAGACAACGTATATTAAAAGATGGCGCACGTTCTCATTCGAGCTACGAGTTCACACATATAGGTTATCTTGGCCTTGTGATTCTTAGGTAAACACTTCCTTTAAACTTTTCTCTGTTCTTCCGGTGTTAAGAAGTGTAATAATCAAGCACAAGACCGACTCTCCACCATCATGGATCTCATCCAGATATTTGCACCTCACCATAGCTTACAAGCTTTGTCTTTATTCGGATTGATAATTTTAATCATGTAATGTAAAATCTTTTATCTTCTTTATCCAAATCCGCGATCTAGGCGGACGTTTATCTTTGCAATGACGCCGAACTTCCTGTCGAAACTCCTATTCCGGATGTGACAAGGGGTATCACCGAGAGGCGGAGCTACGTGACGTATGCTAGATATCAACCATAAGAGTGGCAGCGAAGGCGTGGCTCGAGACGGGAGTGAAGCGTCAGATCTCGTATTTGCATGGAAGAAAAGAAGTTGGGCGTAGCTTAATTCTTGCATTGTGTGTGTGGCGAGGGTATTTACATAGGACTGGTACTCGAGCGATGGTAGTCGAATGTCCACAGAACTCTCTGGCTCGAGTGATAGTCAGAGTGTTGAGCATTTCTCTTGAAATGACTAAGTTTATCTTTGTAGCGTGAGCAGGACTAGCCTGTAGTGTTTACACGGACTGTATGTTTGGTTGTGCTGAGATCTGAGTTGGTACTTGTTCGTATCAGGGCTCAAATTAATGTCCACATCACTTACTTGTTATCGTTTTAGTTTGTTTTACTGTGCGACTATTGATAAAACAGTTAACTAAAAAGAAAGTTAATAGACATTTATTAAAGTCCCATTCACGGAAGCCATTATAAAGTCTGGAAATATCATATCTTATATTACCGAGGAAGTTGCGACTAAGAAAAAAATAATTCAGCTATCAATATTGACAACGAATTAGAAGAAGGTAGTGTTTTGTTTGAAAAGCGTTGATTTAATTCAAACAATCAACGAGGCTCATGACCATGTTAACTTCGAAAGGCTTCCAGGATGTACCGTGTACAATGAACTCCTTACAGTCGATGAGCGGTATTACCAACAGCTACAGTATGACCAGTATCAACACAGGCTCCAATTTTACAATGAGTTATGCCCCACAGGGTTTTGGCTCAAACCTCAACTCTCCTTCAGCGAACATGATGACTGCTGGGGCTATGGGTTCTATGGGTCCTCCAACAGGAATGGGAATGGGTGGAGGCACATCTTGTATGACCCAAGTTCCTCAAGCTTATCCCATCAGCGGAATGAATTCGCTGGGTTTAGGAATGAATGGTATGTCCACGCAGTCTTGCATGGGTACGGTGACAGGACTAAATTCTATGAATGGATCCCTTGTTCCCGCAAGGGATTTTCTTATGTCTGGTCATCCCGGGCCCTCTCCCACAGACACCGATCATGTTGCTAGCCCTCCCGGTGCCGCACTTCAAAGGTCCCGCACAGATAAAGCTTACCGTCGTAGTTATACACACGCTAAGCCTCCTTACTCCTACATCTCCTTGATCACGATGGCTATTCAGAACTGCCCCAGCAAGATGTTGACTCTCAGCGAGATCTATCAGTTCATCATGGACTTGTTCCCATACTACCGGCAGAATCAACAGCGTTGGCAGAATTCTATTCGACACAGTTTAAGTTTCAACGACTGTTTCGTCAAGGTGGCACGAACACCAGAAAAGCCAGGCAAAGGGAGTTTCTGGACCTTACACCCAGACTCTGGAAACATGTTTGAGAATGGATGTTACCTCAGGCGCCAAAAACGGTTTAAATGCCATAAGAAAGAAGCCATTCGTCAAGCACATAAAGCCCTCGAAATACAGAAACAACAAAGTCCAGAGTCTAAACCTAGTGCTTCTCCACCGCCCTTGAAATCAATGGACATTACTGGAAAGTCCGTTAACAACCTTTCTCCTCACCCATCACAGCACTCTTGTCAACCACATGTGACTCCTAAACCTCCACAGCTGACTCTTGCGCCCAGCTCAGACAACTACGATGGCCATGATCGCTCCATGCTGGACAATGGTCAAAACTGTAAAGTAGAGACGTCTTGCTGCACTCCACAGGTCAACATGAACTACTCCCAGTACGGTGGGTTGGATCCCCACCAATTTGGGTTGTTCTCCCGTGGCCTGAACGAATCGGGTGCACCTCATTCCGCCATGCTAGCCTCTGGTCAAATGAAAACTGACCCTCACTATAATCCTTCTAATCACCCTTTCTCGATTAATAATATAATTTCCAACGAGAACAAAGCGGACATGAAACTTTACGAAATGACTCAATACCCAGGTTATGCACCCATGTCACCACTTTCCGCCGGACCTTCGCCCAGTGAATCGAACAATTATTATCACCACTCTCTCTATTACGTTCACCCGTCAGCAGCCTCCAACATATGAGCACTGTTCTGGCCAGCGGACAGCTTTCTCCACTAACTCCGGTACTTGGGAAGGACGTTTCCGAGTCAACACGGACGTGTATTTCTACAATAGAGTTGAAGCCCAAGAGGCATCTGCAGCCCTGCACCGATGTTTGTCATCGTATAGCATGAACTTTTATGGCGTCTTGGTAGTGTGGGTGAGGACATTTTTCATTTACCTTGGTCACAACCTACCCCATCGACCATATTGTTAATCATGAAACAAATCATGTACATTTAAATCATTCTCAATCGTGGTATTTAATCCGGACAAAAAAAAAAGAGTGTAAAATGGTAGATTTGTTATGCACGTTGATGTCCTAGAACACTATAAAAGTAAATTACAAAAGTAATTTAATTTGTTTGGAAGCTTCAAGCATTTATATGATCAGTTTCTTTTATATTTCTCTCCTTTTACTAATAACAGTTTTTCTATGATTTTTTTTTACTTTGATATATTTAAGTTACTGATACTTACTGTCCTAGCGATGTTAATACTGTTTCATTTTTGTCAACCTAAACATTCCAATGATCGTTATTTTCTGACATGAAACGTTTTTCTACGTTCACATTGTATGTTACCGCCTGTTTTCGAATGCCGTTTCCATGGTAATTAATAAATGTTATCGAAAGGCATTACTTTGGGAGTGTTTTATGAATAAATATGTAAAACATAATCAGATGTTCTACTGTTAAATCTTATGTATAAGACTTGACAAGTCAACTTTTTAAGTGAATTTTGATTTTAGGAAGAGCAAATGGAACTCATAATCAACTAATAATGTCGAACTTTTACTGTAGTTGAATGTGAAAAATATATTTAAAAGTAAAAATGTATAGTTAAAATCCTTTCAAATATATTGCATTGTGCAAATGTGTCGGCTGATCCTCTGTTGTTGTTTTTTCAGTAAATATTTTGATCAAAAGTCAATTATTCAAGCCAGTTCTAAGTCTCACCTTTTGTGTTATTCATGACTTTTCTTAGTTCGACTGTAACATTTTAGTTTGCCATCTTGTTATAGTTGAAATAAATAAAAAAAGAACGAATTAAACGACGAAATAAAAACTTAATATTCAGTTCAAAATTTGGTTTAATTTTACTTTTTGTTTCGTTTTAGTTAAAATATACTATCACAGAAATACTAATAATATTACTGTTTTTTATATAATTGTCATCCATCACAACTTTATAGTTAAAACACTACGGAGCGGAACAGTTATAGATCGCTGATTAGATCACATGATAGGAAAATGTGAACTAGAAACATTAATCACTATGTTCTTTATATTTGTTACTAATATTCAGCTGTAATAGCTCTTTCCAGACTTGAATAAAACAGCTGATGCGAGCTAAAAACTATCCGACATCTCGTGATAAGAATAATAACGTGATGATTTTATTTCTTATTAGAACATTCCTTCAGGGCAATTCAAGATTCTTTCGACAAGGACGAAAATTATTCGTTAGTGTGTAATACGCGAAAATATTTTGAGTTTTGTCATTATGCGTTCTTGAGAGTGGAATTTTTGAACGGCCAATACGTAGAGATTGCCAGCAATGTAACAGGTTTTATGCATTTTCGAAAAATAAAATTTAATACAACTTACCTACAGAAAAATGATTTTTTGGTTGTTTGTTTTTATTTCCGATGTTCCACGTATAAGGCTTATTCAAGGATGCAAACAAACTTGTTCATTATTAAGGACGTACTACATTCTACAGTATACATCACATTCTTAAAAACAAACAAACTTGTTCATTATTAAGGATGTACTCCATTCTACAGTATACATCACATTCTTAAAAACAAACAAATTTGTTCATTATTAAGAATGTACTCCATTCTACAGTATACATCACATTCTTAAAAACAAACAAACTTGTTCATTATTAAGAACGTACTCCATTCTATAGTATACATCACATTCTTAAAAACAAACAAACTTGGAAACATTATACACGTCGTCATAATAGATCTCAAGCCTAAAGATCTAATACATAACAACTACAGGGAATGTCGTGTAATAGTTTATTTAAATTTGTTACTCTAGTACATAATAGTGTATCTCAATGTAGGGTAACTTAGGCTAACATACGTAATCACACACATCTCAATGTGCATTAAATTATCCTACTGTGTAATTCATCCACTTATTGCACTTTGATTTTGATTGAGTTTTGTAATAGGTGCGAATAAGTGTTTACAAAATAAATATTCTGTGGTGGTCTCCAGTAAGCTCAGAAACGGTCGAAAGTTAATGTTAGAGTTAATTAAAATTACAAATCTTTTTGAGAAAAAACAAACAAAAACTCAATTATAAGCAACAAAACTTTGCATTTTTAAAACTTAAAATTTGTTTATTATTAGATATACAGAGTATAATATCAATGGTAACCATAAGTATTACATTCTGTATATCTGACAATAAACAAATTTAAAATTTTACATTCTATCAACATCTTGTTATATCGTCACGTTTAATTTTCCCAGATCACAGATATACACAACAGAAGAATGTCCAATACACTGAAATAATTCAACAAATTTTAAGTAAAACATAATATCGGAGTGGTTGACCTAAAATTTTACATTCTATCAACATCTTGTTATATCGTCACGTTTAATTTTCCCAGATCACAGATATACACAAGAGAAGAATGTCCAATACACTGAAATAATTCAACAAATTTTAAGTAAAACATAATATCGGAGTGGTTGACCTTTGGACTATGTGGCGCTGGTTCTTTTGCTGTTCTTGTTTTTTCTTATCACAAAGCTACCCAACTGGCTATATGAGCTATATCCGCCACTTGGACTCGAACCCTGGATTTTGGCATTGTAAGTCCGGAAAATTACTGCTGACCCAACAAGGACGCTGGCTTTTTACTGAGAAGTTTTCGCGCATCTTACATTCACGTAGAAGACGATAAGAAAGAGAAAAAAAGATATTTCTTACAACTACATTAAAGAAAGCCTGGTCCACTTTTGTATTGTGAGTGGGGGAAACGTGACTTCGCAGCAACAGAAGTTCTCAACTCGTGGTCTTCAGTACTTCTTTACCAGATCCTATTTCTAAACTCTTCTTTACCTCTATATAAAATTCTGAGCCTTTTAACAGTTTTCTTTATTGCTATTTATTTTATTTTTCAAAAGACCATCCGTTACAACCAGTGTTTGATCTATTGAAAGATTTTCAAATGAATCTTATTATTGTCTGAAATGTGAAAGGTTTGTACTATATCATTTTCAAGCTGCGTTGCCTTAATATAGAATTACTTTTAAAGAGCTTAGCGTTTTGCACAGATTTTCGCTTTCACTTTTTCCCTCATTAGTCTTATGTATGCCGTAAAAAACAATACAGAAATATGCGTATGTAGCCATACATATAAATAAAAAATGTATAACTTTTAAAAATATTTCACTTTAAAGTCTCATGTGTTTATAATATTCGTCATTCTAGTTTTACTTCTCAGTAAGGCACAAAATTGGAGTTTATTGAGCTCCGAAAAGTAAAAATTGTTTTTGTTTATTGTTAAGCAAAAACTACACAGTGAGCTATCTGAGCTATCATCGCCGAAACCCGATTTTTAGGGTTTTAAGCTCTCAGACTCGTCGACGAGCCACATGTGGTGAGGGAATTCCGTAAAGAATAAATTTTCCTTGAAGTAAGACGATAGTAATATTTTCCTCCTGCTTGTTTGTAGATTGATATAATATCGGTTAATGGCCAGAAAGGGTGAGTGATTTCATACGTTATATATATACCTGAATTTTAAAGAACTGGATTTCTAATGTGTACTCACTTCGACAAATCAAACTGTAAAAACTCAGGCATTCCCGATCATCAAGGCCCGTTCATGTAGAATGTTTACCCTCGACGGTATCGACCTCTAGCGAGATTCCTTGTTTTTTTCCCGAACAGGATAAAGAGATGACAAACACACGTGACTTGCTCTATGGTCTTAGTGACAAATCCTAAAACCAAACAGAGCCACGATTCATCTCTATCTCACACCACAAAATGATGAACAGTTGAGAAAGTAAGCATTTAGTGTTCAAGTAGCTAGCAGACAACATTCGAAATCTCTGTTCATTGTTGTTACACTAGAACGTTTACCGAACAAACTTTACTCTTATGTACTTGTTACACTACTGTTGAACACTCTACGCTGGTCTCTGAAATTATTTACCAGGTAAATACATGAGTGACTTCTGTGGTTGGACTACGATTAGTTACCATTCATCTTATACTCTCACGGACAAGGTGACAACTTTTTTAGAAAAATTAAGACGCTATGTACATAAAAGTATATAAATAAAACACTAGACATCCAGATCATTTATGCACCTTTTTTGACCTTTTTATCACATAACTTTGTCTCCAGTTTACTTATTGTTCATGAAACTTTGAGTTCTAGAGCCATTTTACCAAAAAGAATTTGTATGATCTTCTACAAGTTTTTGAATAAGAAAGATGACTCATTGTGATCTTCAAGTTCACTTCTTACATGAGATTGTCCTAACAGCTTCGTCCTCATGCCCGGTTACCTGTACTTTATACCTCAACCAAGCGATGATGAAACCGCTGACCTGAAAATATGGCGTTTCCGTTAACATGGGAATATAGTGTTTCCGTTAACATGGGAACATAGTGTTTCCGTTAACATGAGAATATAGTGTTTTCTTTAACATAGGAATGTAGTGTTTCTGTTAACTTGGGAATATAGTGTTTCCGTTAACATAGAAATGTAGTGTTTCTGTTAACATGGGACTATAGTGTTTCCGTTAATATAGGAATATAGTGTTTCCGTTAACGTTGGAATGTAGTGTTTCTGTTAAGATGGGAACATAGTCTTTCCGTTAAGATGGAAGTATAGTGTTTCCGTTAAGATGATGGCCCGGCATGGCCAGGTGGTTAGGTCCGTCCCACCAAATATGCTCGCCCTTTCAGCCGTGGTAGCGTTATAATGTGACGGTCAATCCCACTATTCGTTGGTAAAAGAGTAGCCCAAGAGTTGCCGGTGGGTGGTGATGACTAGCTGCCTTCCCTCTAGTCTTACACTGCTAAATTAGGGACGACTAGCGCAGATAACCCTCGTGTAGCTTTGCGCGAAATTCAAAACAAACAAACCGTTAAAATAAGAGTATAGTGTTTCCGTTAACTTAGGAATATAGTGTTTCCGTTAAGATAGGAATATAGTATTTCCGTTAACCTGGGAAATTATGGGTTTTTTTTTATTTCATAAACGAATATCCCGTTTTCAGTAAAATTATGGTTTCAAAATTACATTTTATCAATTTTCTCTTCCCTCGCTTTCCAAAAATGTTTCTAAAATAAATAGTCCAAATAACTTTTTTTTCATCAGTTCAATAGGTATAATTATTAATTCACAATTTCTTGATGAAGATACAAATAACTGATAGGCTAAGATTCTTTTCCTTGCATTTTTTTAAGTTTCTAGATAAATGTATAGCTTGTTGTGAAGCAGGCATATAGATATACAGCAGTTCATACAAAACCTTTCTGGGCATCTAGCTTTTATATCGTTCAAACCGGGTTCAGTGCAGAAAAACGATATGTTTTCATTGATAAAGTAGTAACATGTAATATAATTTCAAAGACAAACCAAAACATTTACATATCAAAAGCGATAAAAAGTATGAAAATATGCTTTCAATTAATGAGTAAAGTGGTAGAAAACTTGTTGGCAAACTACGTAAAGTAACTGACAAGCGATCTACTCATTCTAACCGTGATCTTTCTGTAAGTTTGCAGCTGTGCAACACCCATAATGAAAGAAATAATAAATCAATCACAAAACTGTTCACCCTGACTTAAATCAGTAATCTTAAGCAACCAGCCGACATTTTTGAAGAAACAAAATAGATCTTCCTCTCGTTCTGAAGGCGAGTGTACAACAGTAGTAGTCCAAACAGCGTGACACCGCATTGCCTAAACAGATTAGTGGTTTGTACTTATGTGCTACGAGGAGTGTGCACCGCAGAGATAGACCAGTCAGCTTTCTGTTTGTGTGAAGATGTCGAGATAGAGCTCCCAAGCAGCTGCTCAAAACTCTGTCGAACTTTGGTTTAATCGGTTAGTGAACAAAGTCGCATTAATAACATAGGAGGAATTAATTAATGAGTCTAAACTTCAGGATTCTTTTAACACACACACACACAAAATAAATAAAATGGATTATTGCGACTATAGAAAAATCGCGTATAAAAGTGACCAAGACAACTTGAATAGGATTGTATAATTCACATAAAAATTTCATTTGAATGTTGTTTTTGGTTTCTTATTAATGAGCCCTCTTTGTTTCAATATAATTACTAAAAACTTGTCAATTAGGTCACACACACTCATACTTATATAAACGTATACAAAACAGAAAACGAATGTTCCACTTAATTTTGTTTGTATGCTGTTAAACACAAAGCTAGACATTGAGCTATCTGTGATCTGCCCACCGCGGGTATCGAAACTCGATTTTTAGCGTTATAAGTTCTCATACTGCCCACTGAGCCAAGGGGATAAGGATACATTCTATTTAAAGATAAACACAACTTTCCAGTTCGCTGATCTCAAAGAAACAAAAATAATATAAATACCACTAGTCCAAGTAATACCTTCATAGCAATCTTCCTGTTGAGACAACCTTTAAAATTCATATCTGTTTAGAAAAAAAAAGTCAATATATATATATATATACGTGTTTCTCATGAAGTCAACAAAAAATCTCTAGATGTACATCAATAGCCTAAGTGTATATTTTTCAATAAGTATGTATTCGTCACTTCATAATAACTGTACATTCCAAATTAAAGAAGAGCAACAAACTCGTAGCCAGTAAAGAGCTGTATATTTCTATCTCAGAACACACCATATACACTGTCACTTAGCTATACGAAGGCTTAATCGATGTTTTATTATCAATGTTTCTTTTGAAACTACTTCCTCCATTATTCAGAACTAAACGTTCTTATTTGACACCACGGTTTCCACTGAAAAATATATTCTGAAAAAAGAACAGTGAGTTAACTTAGGATCGCTAAGTTAAATTTAGACTAAATATCTTTACAAAATTTGCACAGAGTCTCCAATGTACATATATATCGGTTTCAAAGTTCACAGACCAAAGGCACAAAGTCTATTAGAACTGGATCAGAGGGACTGAAGCTATATGATCAAAAGGATCTGCTGTGATTCCAACTTCTTCGGTTATCTTTCTCATAAAAAATGTTTTTTTATTTCGAATTGTGGATGATGGCTTGTGAACATTTAGCTTGCCTTCTCATAAAAATTGTGTTTTTTGATTTCGAATTGTGGATGATGGCTTGTGAACATTTAGCTTGCCTTCTCATGAAAATTGTTTTTTGATTTCGAATTGTGGATGATGGCTTGTGAACATTTAGCTTGCGAGCAATCGTCAAGTTCAAATTCTCTTCTTAATGATACCGGGAGATTTTATTAACTTCATTTCAATGTTTTTTTTTTGGAGGGGGGGGTCGGAGAATTCTCATTCGTAGCCATAGCCTTTTATATGCGGATGGTGACGTTGCCATTGGTTTGGGGTGTAATTACGGAGTCCACTAATTTCCTAAAAGGTCTGAAGTGCAAGTTTTTCGCTTCATGGAGACCATTGAAAACTACCTTACTCAATATTTGTGTCCTATGACTGTCTATTATTTAACAATTTCCATGCATGAATGTTTCTTGTCTGAAAGGTTTTTATTTATTCCTTCAGCCATAAGCCCATTGGTGGGGGCAATGCAACCCTCAAATGGTCAGAAATTCGCCATAAATCAAATATATGATGCTAAGATGTCATTCGTGGCGTCATGCCACTGGATTAACACATGTAAATAATTCTTATAAAGTGCGAGTTAACCCTTTGAAACTGTACTTTGATAAGTTAAGTTTCAATCAAGCCTGCTGTGTGGTTTACAAACCTTTTCTTCCAAATGTCAATATTTCAGGTATAATTAAAGATTTAGTTGTTTCGATAAATACAACTTAGAGTTTGGAAGATATTTAATCTTGGATTAAATCTTTGCAGTTGACACTGTGAAGTTCGGAATAACTAGACATTTATTCGTGAAGCTCGTAGAAAGATTAACTTAACAGCAAGGAAGACACATAACTTACATATCCTATAACTTAACAGCAAGGAAGACACGTAACTTACATATCCTACAACTTAACAGCAAGGAAGACACGTAACTTACATATCCTACAACTTAACAGCAAACACGAATTCCGCTACCAATAAATTATAATAATTGTCTGTTATGACAGTTTTAATTTTATTCATTTTTAACATTTTCTTTTAATTTAGGGACCATGCTGACCTAGTGGTTAGCATGCCTATATTGTGGATTCGAGTATTTGCGTCGTTACCAAAGGGGGAAAAAAACGCGCACCGTACTTTAGTGTTGCTGATATACTATAAGTGTAACAGTCAAATTCCACTATTCGGCCAGACAAAAGAAGTCCAAGAGTCGGCAATGATACTGTTGACCAGCTGCCTGCCTACCCTCTAGTCTATCAGTTTTAAATTAGGGACGATTATGGACAGACATCTAACTGTGTAGATTTGTGTGAAAGTTCTAAAAAACAATAAACTATAATTTTAAATATCCTATAAGAAAGGCTTTTCATAAAGTACATACTTTTTTCACCAGATACCGAAACTTACAAGTGTAATAACATAACTGGATGTTAAATTAAGTAATCGAATTAATTTAATTAGATGACATAGGATTGTACAAGTGTTCAGTAAAATATCCACTTAAATGTCGGGCGTAAAGACATGTAAACTGTTGAATATGTGTTGAACTGTACGCCTCCAGTAAGGCTACGTCACCGCCCTGAGAAAACAGGTTCCTCAAAACCAGCAATAATTGCATTCGTAATAAACAAAACAAAACAAAAAACAGCGTAATAAAAGCTTACCTTTAGACGTCACTCTTGGAGCGGAAGCTTAGCTCATTTGCCAGTGCTCCTTTTTTTTTCCTATCATAATCAAAGAATAGCGGTTGTTCATTGGAAAATATAAAAGTAATGTGTATCAAACTGATTTTAGAAAATGTGTGATGAACTTTGAATAAACACCATGAATAAAGATCGCTGCAGTGAAGATTTTCAATAGAAAATTAGGACATTGGAAAATCGTGATGCATAATGAAACTAGACAGCCATTAAGAAAATAAAAATAATATTTGAAGAAATAAATTTGATTGTTTAAATGCAATAAAAACTAAGTCTTTAATTGTTTTGAAGCAAATAACTATAACTAAAGACGTTATTTGTGTCGTTTCCCAGAATAGGAATCATTATTGTTCTTAACTTTGTTTAACGTAAACTGGAGTGCTCCAATTTAGATTTAACTCAGTTAGTGAATTTGTAGGATATCAATAGCTCCTGACGAAGCTGTAATAGCGAAATACTGAGCTAATAAAGTTACATTCTGGAGATATATGTCGTAATTTTATTTACGTTTATAGTAATCATTGATGGTGCCGTTAAGAGTCTTGTGCTTAAACATATGGCGAATTGTAATGTATTATTACACCTGTGTTTAAACAAAAATATATACAAATTAGATCTGTTATAGCCTTACGGGCAAACGGCTGATTCGAAGTAGAGAAAACTGCTTTAACATACGCATTTTCTTTTCACAACTTTTAACGGTTGACTTCATAAGAACGTAGAAGTAAAATAAGAATATTCTTAATTTAGTTGAATGATAAAATTAGGTTAAAGGTATGTAAATCGTGTTACTACGGTCTCACAGTGATTTGTATACACACCGGCGTACATTCACTCCACCTGTAGCGACGGGCAAGTTTTATAGATTGGATCATTAATTAAATATCTTTGCTCTACCTAACTTTCTTTCCAGCGTCGACTGAATTCATAAAATCCTATTGTTTGCTAAGTCTCTAAAATACGACTTATAGTAGTGAACTGGCAACTCTCTCTCTCTCTCCATGTGCTATGATAATCTATTACCACTCATCAAAATAATATGCTTTGAAAGACCCTGGACTCGTATGGACCCGTGTAATAAATAAAGTTATTTATTATTCAGATTGTCTTTGTAACTTCTAGAAGTGTTATTATTTTTCACTAAATATTCAAAATCTGTATTATTAAACTCTGCTGTACCAGTTAATTAGTTACCTTCTTTAAAATATCAGGGCTTCATAGTCGAATTACCCCAGTCTGCTTGTACTTGACTCTACTGGTTCTATTAAGCTTTACTAGCATTTAGATCTTGTTAGAAATGTTCGATTGGCTAAACACCTGGGTCTCACTCGACTAGTCCAATTAAGTCTTTTTACGCTTAAGCTTCGCTAGGAGCGTTGATTGGTTAAGCATTTGAAACTCAGCTGTTTGGGTGCCATACCTAGGGAGTCCTGAAAACCTTTCTTTTATTTACTCATCAATATTGTACTTCACATACCACTATTTCTTCACGTGCTTGCAGTGCCCAAAGAACTACGCGGGTGTCCCAGTTTGACTTATGTCTTGGTGACATCTTCCATCAATGGTGAGAGCCTACTTTGTGGTCAATACACCTGCCTTCCTGCCTTCGTTGTTAACAGTGTCCGCCCAGGTTAGTATGGATAACTCTGAACAATAGAGTGAATTGGAGGGGATCCGACATGCACTAATCTTTGTACCTCAAAGGCAAAAATGCACGTGCGTTCTGCGGGAAAGGGTCTAGCTACAAGAACGAAATGTTCTTCGTTGAGATCTAAGTTCCCTGAAGACTATTTTGGCCAAAGTTTTTGTAAAGGTTTATGGCTTAGACGTAGTAACTAACGAAGGGAAGCCAGTGTTCAGGAATTTTCTGAAAGTTTTGCTGCTACTTGTTTGAAAATATAATTGTCACCACGTGTTGCTCATGAGCACTTTTATCTGAGGTGAAACCTTATTTAACACGTTGTGAAAATACAGTAAACATTCAGGGTAAGCCTTCTGACTTCTTTGAAGTCTTGCGTTGGAAAGAATATTCATTGGAGAGATTAGCCAATGGTGACCTAGATTTACAATTGAATAACTGCTTGTAGAGTTTACTCTCATTCTCAGTGTCTTTCCAGATTTGGACTAATACAAACAACAGGGCTGATTTATGTAAATAACTTTCTACAGTTTACTCTCGTTCTCAGTGTCTTTCCAGATTTGGATTTGTACAAACAACAGAATTGACTTCCATATTTATCGTATGTGTTCGGTACATATAGCATTGATAAAACCAATTGTCAAAGTATCTTAATGAACTGTAGGAAACATAACTACGCTAAGTCTTCATATCACGTTATAGAAGCATGAATCATCTGCTGGCACGTGGCAGTGCCAATGAAGTTTGTTTTTTATACTTAATCATTTAATATACATACAAATACAGTTTGGTTACGCATTCCGTTTTCCTCATTATCTTTTAGACTTGGATTATTGAATATCATTCAGACGTTTATGACTAGGAAACCCTCCCATTAGAGTGCGGGACCACCAAGTATGAATCTAAACACCGAAAAAAGCATGTCAACACTGAAAACGACCGTAAACACCGTAACCGTAAGAAACTTTGACAAAACAAAGTATATAAATATCGAAAATGACCAAAACAATTTCCAACAGATCCAGGAATGAGGTGAAGACTTAATGCATAGACATAGGGTTTATTTTGCGAATACGTGTATATTAAGTACAGACTTAATATTTCTATATCACAGCTTTTATGCTGGTCGTGGCCTACGCGTTAGCAACTGTGAATTGAAGGACCCATGACCCACCTTCCGTTGCCTCAAATTCGTGCTTCGAATTTTGGGTCCGTGGGTGCGTTATAAGAGTGGGTTAAATCCTACTATTCGATAAGAGTAGTTGAAGAGTTAAAGGATGGTATGGACTTGTATATTTTGTAAGCCAAAAAGTTTTACACCCATGTGATTGGCCCAGTCGGTAACCATATAGGACAGGCATGTACGGTGACAGGGATTGAACTCGCGATTGTGAGTCGAGCGCCCTAACCACCAGACTATGCCAGAACCGCTTTTCCTCTTATCTATAACTCGTGTAGCTTTGCGCAAGACTCTGAAACTAGCAATGGAAACTTTATAAAATCGACGCGAAGTAGTTAAGAACAAGAGTTATTACAGATAAAACTCAAGAAATTAAAAAGTAATTGATACTGACAATACTGAAACTCTTGTTAAGCAACACAATTTCAAATCAAACAATTATTTCGAAAATAATTCACGTATTTGTTTGTTTTGAATTTCGCGCAAAGCTACACAACGTCTATCTGCGCTAGCCGTCCCTAATTTAGTAGTGAAAGACTAGAGGAAAGGCAGCTAGTCATCACCACCCACCGCCATCACATGGGCTACTCTTTTTACCAACGAATAGTGAGACTGACCATCACACTATAACGCCCCCACGGCTGAAAGAACAAGCATGTTTGGTGGGACGAGGATTCGAACCGGCGACCCTCAGATTGTGAGTCAAGCGCCCTACCCATCTGGCCATGCCGGGCAAGAATTCAAGTAAGAATTACTTAAAAGTGAATAAACTGTGCGTAATTCTCAATCAACATAACATAAAAAGTATTATAACGTACATATCTTCCTCCATACAGCAATGAGTTATAAAGTTTGAAAATACATGACTTGAAAAAGATTATTGATAATTGGTGTATTGAAAACAAGATCTGAAAAAATACTATTTTGGCTATCATCACTGCAAGAGGACGGCTGTTCCAAATTATACATAGAGTTTGAGGTATGGAAATAAATAAATTACTAATACAATTATACTTACAGTATATTTTGTTGAAATTTATTAACGTAGTTTGAGCAATGGAAATGTTTCAAAGTTGTATTTTGAGTTGTCTGTTTGTTTGAAATTAAGCACAAAGCTACACAATGGGCTACCTGTGCTCTGCCCACCACGGGTATCGAAACCTGGTTTCTAGCGCTGTGAATCCGTAGATATACCGCTGTGCCACTGGGGGGCTTTGAGTTGTCAATTGTCTCTTTAGGACCATCTTCGTTTACCTCTATTTTGAAGACTTAATAAAACGAACAACATTTTAATAGTATGGATAAATCATTAATAATGTCAATTAATTCTTTACAAAAGACTGGTCAAAATATCAGTCATTTCAGTTTGGTAAGTAATCAAAGTACTATTAATTACTAAAATTCTTGTTGTATGATTAAATTTTCAGTATATTAATTATCGGAAATGTACAGTAGGCCTGTGTATTAGCGTTTACTGTGTACACTTTGTTTAAGTGTTGTTTTTGTTGGTTTTTACGGTGTTTACATGTTGTTTTCAGCTTAGACGTAGTGAAGTGTTACATCGTATGCCTACGTATGTATAATGTAATATTTGAACTTCTATTGAAGCATTAGTTTACAATCAAATGAGGTAAAGAAAACCAAAAACAACATTATATCGTCCACTGCACGAATGACATTTTACAGATTGTTTGTCGCACATACATATAATTATCGATGATTTTGAATGTTGGCTAAATAAAAACTTTTGACACAACGTGAGATAACGATAACACATAACACTAGATTTACATTCTGTTTGTTGTTTAGAGCTTGTATTATTATAGAGCTACAACAAAATATATTTATATATATACACAAATAGCTGCATATAATCACGCTAATCATCTACATCAGTTCAATGTAATGTGAGTAAGCATTCTAATAATCTATCATGAGTCGAAATGCAGATATATATTGGTCTTCTATAATCTTGCCTCATTTGTTACTTGAAATAAAACATATAGGTGAAAGTGAAACCACTTGCAAACCAATGGTACAGTTAGTTAAATACCAAGACCATGGCAAGCTATTTTCCCCAACACAAGATTACAACACCTTACTGTCAATTTTGATTAGCTACAATTGTAGTGTACCTACTAGAAGACTAAATTAGATGTTAGCAGCCACAACTTGACACTGTGTCAGTGGTGGTGATGGTGGAAG